TAATTTATTTTGAGAGTTGGAACTAATATGTATTTTTCTCATATTTACATAAAATATTAACTTTTTATATAAAAATTTAAAATTTATCACAATTTTTTAGGTAAAGTTAATTATTTTTAATAAATATTATAAAAAAATAGATTTTAAATATTAAAAGTTAAGAAGTAAATTGTCAAAATTTTATATAAATATGTTGTATAAAATTTATATATAAATAAATCTTACTTATGAACATACGTTTAAACAAAAAGGACAAAAAAAAAAAAAAAATACTAAGTGGTTTATTGATAAAATTTCACTAGTAATTAAAAATAATATCATGAAGCTAAAATAAGTTAATAAATAAATTAAAATATGAAAGAAAATTAATTCAACATGTCATTTTAAATAAATGAAAAAATATAATATTTTTTAAATTTTAAAATAATATTTATATCTTACAATTTAAATTATATTAAATTTAAAAAAAAAACTCTCAATATCAAAATGTGTGCTTTCATTTAAGAACTTAAATTGTACACTACCAGATTACACCAAAATTTTTTTATCCAAAAATAGGTAAACTAAAAAATTATCACTACTAAATTAAAGTTAAAAGTACCAATAATTTGTTGATTTAAATAAAAAAATTTGATTTTTAAATAAAATTTTAAATTTAAATCTTATAAATAAAAAAATAAATAATAAAAAAATTTTCTTTTATAAGATTTTAAATTAATTAAAATTAATTATAATTATTAAATAAGAAAAGATCAATATAAAAAAATTAAAGCAAAAGGCACCATGAAAATTCGTGTCATAGGAAGAGTACAAGAAAGAGAAATGGAAGCCGGCTGAGAGACAAACAAAACAAGCCGAGCCAAGACAAGGAGAAAGCAAACCCAAAACCTTATCCACATGAAAGCTGTAAATCCAGGGAGACAATGTCCGGTGTCAGAGCTCGCACATGCTGTGGTTTTCCACTTCCCAGGGTATTTTCCCCAGTACTGTTCCCTGTATCATGATCACATCCCACCGTCTAATTGGTATTCTAGATTTGATCAGGACAGAGGCGACGGTGCAAGGATAGGGCGACGGAAGTGTCTAAAGTGAGAGAACATAGGTGTAGGTCATTGGGTGGTTGGTCCTCCTGCATGTGATGGGTGGACTGTAAAAGACTGTTGTAGCGTAGCAGAAATGTTTCCTTGGACTTGCATCATCCACCCCACACCCTTTTATTGCATCACTGTCCCAAGCCAGGTTGTCAACCTCTTCCTTTCTCACTTCTCACGCTTGTCAAACACGCTCGAAATGAATTCTTGTATATCTCCATTTTTTAAGTGAATGAAGTTATTAAAATTTTGAAATTTGGAATTAAAAGTATTAAATTTAAATTTTAAATTTGATTGATGAAAAATAATTTTAAAAAATAAAAGAATTATTTTTATATAATTTTTTTTATTATATATATAAAAAAATTACATACCAACGATTTGTTAATTTGAGTGAAAATAATTCAGTTTCCCTTAAATAAAATTTTGAGTTTGAGTTTTGTGAATGAAAAAACATGTGCTGAAAAAACTTCCCTCGTAATGGGGTCTGACACGCGTCGATTCCAAATTAATTAATATCCAATGTGATTACCGAATACCGAAAAGTTAATATAAAAAAAAATTTACACATTTTTAGTTCATATTTTCTTATTCATTATAATGAGTGAAAGTATGGAAAAAAA